TAAAATTAGAAAATTAAATGATAAATTAATATTTATTTATCATACGTATAGTAATAAAAAATTATAGTAAATAGTACTTCATATTTTGATCTTCCTGGTGTAATATCTTATTATTGTCACGTTCACTAACAAAACTAAAGTTATTAATATTGAGATTAGAAGACATTAATAGTAATAAAATACTATTAATACTAACCACTCAATAATACCTTCAGAATTAAGTAAAGGTTTATTGCTATTTGAACTACTTATATCATTATTATGCTTATTGAATAATATTTCATTACTGCTATCATTGCTCAAGCTATTAAAAAAATTCAAAGTATTAAAAAAATTATCTTGATCATTATTATTAATAGACCTTAAATTATTTATGCTTCTAATATTAGATCGTACTTTATTATTGCTAATATGATACACTACATCATTGCTATTAGGATTCACTTCGTTATTGCTACTAGGCTGTGTTTCATCATGGTTAACAGAATATATTTTATCGTTATTATCAGGATGCACTTTATCATTGTTACCAGTCTATGTTTTGTTACTACAAGACTACATTTTGTTGTTACCAGCCACATTTTGTTGTTACCAGACCACATTTTATTATTACTAGACTGCATTTCGCTGTTAGGGGAGGGCTATTTATTAGTTAATATTTTTTTATTAAGAAGCTATCCCCCTCCCCCCTACCTGATTTTAAATAAAAAATTTTAATTGGCTAAAACTATATACTTGATAATTTTTTTATCTCCTCCTCTCTAAAAAATTAGCTAATTTCTGGTACTCCCCTTATCAGGCTGTATTTCATTATTATCCGACTGCATTTCATTATTACCAGGCTACACTTTGTTATTACCAGGCTGCACTTCATCTTTATCAGGCTTATTTCATTACCAAATTGAAATATTTCATCATCACTAGACAGCATTATTTCATTACTACTATCAGAATATATTCTTTTTTTTGTAGTATTTTTTTCATAGTTATGTTTCTTTTTCCGTGATTGTACATAGGTTGTTTTTTTTTTTTAACGCTATTAATTAGAGATTTAGTGTATATATCTAGAAAATTATTTAAAGTAATTTGTATTTTACCGCTAACAAGCCCAAAACAATTTAAAAACTAAAAAATTCAAACTAACCTCAAGCTTTAAACCTGTCTTT